TTTCCACCTTATTTGGGAAGACGGCAGGTGCAGCTCCTATGTGGTATAACAATGATATGCGAATCTCAAATCCGATGACATTCTTAAAAATGATTTGTTGATTCTTTGGACATTGGAGATCTGAGAAGATGAAGTGAAGAACAAAAAAAAAAAAAAAAAAAGGAAAAACAAGTTCAAGACTCGAAACCCAGTTCGGGTGGTTTTCCAAAAGAAACACGCTACCACCAAGCCACATTAACTATCGCTACAAATATTGCAGACAGATTGTATATATATATATATAAAGACGCGGGGTTAAAATTTAACGCCGTTAAATAATTCCGTTACGCCAAGTAACGACTGTTAAGTTTCGGGTTCGAAATTACCGAGTTTTAAAAAACGATAGTTTTAAAAGGCAATCGAAATTAAATGAGGTATTTTTATTCCAAATTTAAAAACACACGTATTAAACGGCAAAAAAAAAAATAGATGGCGGTTTTTTCGGGTTTTTTCCCTATCAACATTCAACAAGAACGTTAAATTCATTTTCTTTTTTGGTAAGAAATCTGGTGGGTGATCTGCCAGCAAGATTGTTGAAACCGATTAATTACTATACATGGAATTTGTTTTCATTTTTCAAACAAAATATTTATGGCCAAGAAAAAAAAAGAGAGGTTGGATCTAATCAAATCGTGAATAACCCATTTAACCAAACATCCTCGTTTGGTGCAGTCCATGTTATTAGCCTCCGAGATTAGTTATATTTCAAACAACATAACGTAACTAAAATTACTTTAGACCTTCTTGTACTCGGGTACGGTTTTTTTGCCCAGGCCTATAACAATCTTTTTCTTACTAGTCAAATCATACAACAATGGTATAGTTGCCGTGATAGTAGTTCCACTTGATAATTTTTTTAATTCATGACTACTTTATTGCTAACAACGTTGGATTATAAAATGGATTAAACAGGATATTATCATTTAAGCAAACATCTCTTTCAATGAAATCTAAAGTCAAAACTCTGTTTCAATCACGTCCATTTTAACTTTCGGTTTTCGATAAGGGCAATTCAATGGTAACAGAGCCATGCGTGGGCATAGTCGTTATCTTCGAAATTATCACATTTTGGAAAGGTCATATTTTTTACCGAAATTTACCTAGTTTAACCCAAATTTTGGGATTAATAACTAGATTAACATCCAATAATTGTGGTTTACTAGAATAACATAAAATTTGTGTAAAAAGACCAATTACCCATTTTATTTAATTTCTCCTAAAATAAAAAAAAAATTAAACAAAATTAAATTTAAATTAATTAAACAATCTAAACGTGGAAGCCTCGTTGACTCATAGGTTGACTAAGGGTTAATTAATGCTTATACACCAAGAGGTATGGGGTTCGAGTCCCAGATACTGCGATTTATTTACCAATTTGCAGATTAATGGAGACAAGTGTGCAGGAGATCTCCAGCGATGTACAATTATAGCCGTTCGCCAAGATTCTACGTAGAGAAGGAAGTGTCGTCAGGTCGTGAATCATCGAAGGTGTCTATCAAGAGCATGAAGAAGGAAGTGTCGTATGCGTGGATCTAATAAGGGTCGGAAGGAATTGTCCGTTGTAGAATTGTCTATGTAACAGTTCTCATAATTTGCAATAAATAATAAATTCAGACGTCAAAAAAAAAAAACAATCTAAACAAATATTTTTTTAACCCTAACCTAATCTATTGACTTCCACTCTTTTATTTTCCAGCAAACAAAAAAAAAAAAGAAAAAACTTCTCGATTCCTCTCAAATCGAGTTCGTCTTCTCCAGCAAAGACACGAAGATAAGGAAGTCGAGTTCGCGATTCTTGGTACCGCCGATTCGAACTGAGCAGCAACATGCGCCGGTTCTCCTTGTTTGAAGAATCCGCCGTCAATTTGAGTGGTCGCGTCAATGATTGACTCTTCCCCTTCTCTGGAGGTTCTTCTATTTCTCGGCGTCTTCGGCGCTTCCTTGTCGTCCCATCATCTCCGGCGAATCCCCGAAAACCCTAATCTTTGTTTGCCACCGCCGTTTGACTCTCCTTTTGTGTGTTGTTCGATTGACTATTCCTCTTTTCCGGTGGTCCACTAATTTCCCGGCGTAATCGGAAACTGATAGTGAAGGATTTGATGTGAGTGGATCGGAGGGTGATGATACATTGTGGATCTCTTGGTTTTGTAATTTGAGAGGGAATGATTTCTTTTGTGAATTCGATGAAGATTATATTCAAGATTATTTCAATCTTTGTGGATTAAGTGGTCAAGTTCCTTACTATGATTATGCACTTGATCTCATTGGGTAGAGAATGAGGGCTAAAAGAAGTTGAAAGATGGAATCTTGAAAGTATCTCATGATGTTACAAGAACTTATAAGATTGAAATAATGACACTTGGGTCTTGTCTCCAAAATGATTTTCCCCAATTAGTTGGATTTTGTTTGAATTGTTAGATTATTATTTGATTTCCTAATTTCATGTAAAACTCATAAAATTTTCAATTGAAGGTTAACTTTAGAACAATCAATTCCATCAAAGATCCTAAGAAATGGCCATTAAAATACACTCAAGGGACCAAGATCTAAACTAAACTTGTCAAAGCATCTAATCATGATGATTACGACACAAAAACTTAAACATAGAGCACTGAATGTAGGATTTCAGTAAGAGATCATTGCCACACCTAAATTTAGTTGGTTAAGTAAAGCCAAGCCAATTTGAACATTAGTAGAACAAATCTGAAGTTCTTGGTAATCAAACTTTGATAAATTAGGTTACCTTATTATGCATTTTATAACAAAAACCGTTAATCATATATCACGACATAAGTATTGTTTAAAACAAATCATCCATCAGATAAGAACAAAAAAACTGTCATAATAGGAATTAAAATTTAAATATGTCAATGCATAAAACATATCTGCTATCACTATATAACATATTATTAATAAAACTGCTATCATACAACATATTTTTTGTAACATATTCGAAATCTGTCGTAATATACAAAAAATATGTGATAACATAAAACAATTCGGTTGCGACTATATGTCATTCTAGAAATTTATATTTTTAAATAACAAATCTGCTATCACTCTCCAGATTTTTGTTTTTAAAAAAAAAACTGTCATAACATAAAATAAATCTGTTATCACAAATAAATCAAACTAGTTATTTCTTTTTTTATTAACAACTCTACATTATGGCAGATTTCTATCGAAAAATATAAGTCTGACGCCACTGAAAACATAAAATTTTCATGCATTTTAATAAGAAATATTTACTCAGATGTTAACCAAAAGTTCGAATATTACTAGAATATCATACATTTTCTAAAAATTACTCATATGTTTTGAGCATTTGTGTAATTACAATTAACACCCTTCATTAGTTTTTTTTTAATTAATAATTTTTAATTCATTTTTAATAAAAATAATAAATAAAAATTTGATTATCCATGTCATTAATCCACCTCACCAATCTCACATTCCTCAAACTCACGTTATTTATCCTCTTCTCCTTTTTGTCTCCAAATCCAAGAAAAGCTTTTAGATCATTTCTCCTCTTCTCTTTTTTTTTTGTCTCCAAATCCAAGAAAAGCTTTTAGATCTAATAATCTGCAACTAACTTGGGTACAACATTGACATAGATCTTCAAATTGCAGGATTGGGCTGGATCTTCCTAGACCTCACAGCCACAACGCTTGCCATAGGGTCCCAAATCAAAAGCTTCGTCAGATCTACTCGCAAAAAGTCATCAAAAATCAAAACCCAAAACAAAGAGATCTATGAAATTCTACATGATTCGTTACAGGTTTGAGTTGAAATTAAGAATAGCTACTCTTTTACTTTGATTTTACATGTCTCTCGTTTAATCTTCCTCTCAATCGATCTATTTGGGGACATTTCTACTTCTATCTATGTTTTGATTCATACGGTTTAGTCTTCCTCCTATGTATCCCTCAAACATATTTTTACGAATCTTAATTTGATTGTTGTTATTTGACCAATAAATTTCATATTGTCTTCTCCAAAAAAATGTTGCTTTCCGATCTGTATTATAAATCAGCCGTAAAGTGATGTAACTCAGCCGTAACGTGATGTAACTCAGCCGTAACATATAATTTACACAACATTTCGTCTTCCCTGAATGATAACTCAGCCGTGACATGTAATTTACCGAACCTTTCGTCTTCCCTGAAGCATATAACTCACCCGTAACATATAATTTACACCCATCTATCGTCTTCCCTGGAGAATATAACTCAGCCGTGACATGTAAATTTACCGAACCTTTCGTCTTCCCTTAAACATATAACTCAGCCGTAATGTAATTTTACCGAACCTTTCGTCTTCCCTGGAACATATAACTCAGCTGTGACATGT